CGCGAGGTGAATGGATCTACGGTTGCAGCATCGTGCAACATTCTCCGCCCAAAAAAAGGACGTCAACGATATTTCAGGGTAGTGATATCCGTGTGCTATTTGAGACTGCGCCCGTGTTGCGGCACAACCAGCCGTACGCGTAACTATAGCCAAACGCCTGCTCGTATGCGTCCTCTCACGTCTCTTTGTTCTCTATCCCTGAATAAGTACTCGCTGCGGGATTTTGGTATCGACGCGTGCTGCGTCTTGAGGGTAGCGTGCGGAATCCCGAGCGGCACCCGGATGTCACTATCCTTCAACCTTATCCTGCGCGCTCTCAAGTGATGAAAGTGCTACCCCCGTCCCACGAAGGTGCTACACTCAACCCGACCCTAGAGATCTGATTACTCACAGGATATCCGTACAGACCGTGCTTGGCTTAAGTTCTACTTTTTCACATCCTGCCGATCTCTCCTGACTTCTGCTTCATATTGATCAATCGCCATTGTGCAGTGCTTATTACACTTCTTAGTTTCTATCACTGATTTTGAATGGGGACGGTTAAACGGTCGAAAACGTTTCGACGGCAACAGTACCGGAGCAAGAAAGAAAGCTTTTGCAGCTCCGATAAAATTTTTCGCACGATCGTTTCTTACTAGACCCCTTGAGGCTCTTCAGTGGATAAGGGGTAATGACGCAAGTAAATGGGTAAAAGATCTTATTAGTGGGGATATCCCCACTAATAAACTAAAATGAGTACGTCAGAGAAAATTAATTAATAAAGAAATGAACTGTAACACAAACAAATAAATGAGTGAATCCTAAAAACAAGGCATGTAATCGTGTGTACAGTATATATTAAAGGGTCACATTATCTCATTGGGGCGTATTATTTGTAAAAAACATTAATGTGGAGAATCAACGAAATTGTAAAAGAATAGATCTGTAGTGAAATAGATATGTACATTAACAAACTGAAGTGTTCCCCTATATTCTTGCATAGGTACTAAATCGTTTAGCCATTTTTCAATGAGCTTATGGTCTTCACTTAATGCATATTTATAATCTATGGATTTATTATTATATACACACTTTAATATACTAGGAATAATGAAATTAACTTCATATCCAATGTCACTTAGGTTGGTTACCATGTCTTTCAATTTTGAAGTAAAAGCTTCTATTCTAGTACGGTATTAGCTATTCTCAATGTTTCTGTATAAATAACTGAGCTTTTTGTAATGCTGGAGATATTAGTGTCTCTATGGGGATATTTCATAACTTTGAAAAGAAATTCGTCGGTTTTATTATACAACTCTGTTATGATTTTATGGTCCTTTATAATTACTTTCAGGTCGAAGTAGTTACTGTTGACTTCAGTGATGTCAGTTTTTTCAATACTAACTTGCTATTGTACATTGAAGTCAATATGGATTTCAATTCCAATTCTTCTTGGTTATGAACTATGAGCAAATCATCCTTATATCTGAAGGGAATGAACACTTTAGTGTCCTTTTGCTTGATTTGTTTTAAAAATTCATACTCCATATAGGAAAGAGTAAGGCCTGCTCACAGGGGGCTGAAGTTGCCTCCCTGCGGTACTCCTTTCTTTTGTATAAATATGTGATTACTGAAAGCACAATAACTGTTCTTAAGCAGGTATTCAATCATATATATCAAATCAGATGCACGGTAATTTCTGTATTTATCTTTATGTTAATCTTCATCTGTATAGAAAACGTGGAAACGGTTAGTAGCAATTTTTTCTTTTCCTGCATTTTTAAAACAAAGTTTAACAATTTTTTGCATATTACTGATAATGGTATCATGTTGTAAATTAGTGGACATATCTGTAAAGTCTGCTGTATAAATCTTTAAATTGTTATGTGCAATACTAGTAAGTTCATGGCTTATATTAATATTATCTGTAGACCAATATGTTTTTATAGTTTTGTTCCTATTTTGAATAACTTTACAATAGTTGATAAAATGTTTTTTAATGTGTGTAAATATGGTGTGTAGCTCTTTGGCTAATGGTTCAACACTGCTGTTCCTTGCTCCTGTGATAAATCGGTATTTGATTGGATTCTTATGCAGTTTAGGTAGCGCATACACTGTAGGTATTTCATTTTTTTGCATGAGTGTCATATTATTACGCTCACAAATAGTTTTTATAGTGTTTGCGGTCTTTATGTGTTATTGAGTTAGAGGTATTGCATGTATTTTTGTATTCAAATGTTTGCTTGTTGAAGTCGTACATAACTCCCATTTCGTTCACTAATGTTATAAATAATGTTTTTTTGCATATTATGCCATAATTATTACTGGCTTTGTCCAATGGGCAAAATATGAAATTTTCTTGGTATTTTTTGATAATTTTATAAGGAATTGATTCGATCATATCGTTCATTTTTTTCAAATTTTAACGAAAGGTTGTGACTTTTAATGATAACTATCGTATATATATATTTCAAGATCTGGTATTAATGGATCCAGTAATCTTATATTTGTTTTTTAGGAAGCATACATTCCCTTGGTTATCTCCTCGTATACTTTTTTAATTTCTTTTCTAGTTACATTATTATGTTCTGTATTTAGTACCTTTTTGAGGAGATTTTTAAAGGCACTCCCCGCGATCAAGTGGTCCTCAAAATGACTTCGTGCTTTTGGAACCCTCTACGCCTTGACGGAGATGATACCACTTTCATCCCTCAATATGGCGCGATAAGGAAGTTATAGCGATAGCCACAAGGCTCGCTAGCTCGCTGACACGGTAGGTGGGCGAGGCGTCCGGACCCGAACTGCTTTCGTCCCTTGAAGTATCCTATTTCGAAAGTCGGGACCGCAATTGCGGCTTGCCGCATCATTTCTGGCAGCCACGTCCCGGCACCTGTCGTCCAGGCCCCGCCCCCACTGCTAAAAGGAGGTTTTAGCGAGTTTTTTTTTCGACTTTTTTTCTGGGGGTCACAAATGGGCCACTGCTTCGTGACTGAGCACCAATTACCCGAACACTTGATCGCGGAAATTTTCTTTAAGTGTATCTTCTTGTATAATATCAAGATCTCCCGTTACTATATCCTATTTCCCTATATAAGTATTTGTTATAAACCTCATTATTACATATACAATTATTTTTTATAATTTTAATTATTTGTTCGTTATCGAGATTTTTAAGGAATTTATTATAATTGTATATCTTATTAGATAAGGGTTGGTTATATCTGAACACTATCCTAACTGGAGTAATCTCTTCTTTTTTGTTTGTGCTCATAATAGATCTCTTAATATATGTGGAATTGAATATTTTACTAAGTGGTATTTCATTAAATATTCTGTTAGTGTAGTTAATTATCATTTTATAATAGGTTTTTTGTATTCCTTATTTATTTCGAAATGAAGGTGTGCTAATAAACAAAATATTATAAGTCTAGTTTTATTCTTAACAGTTCTCAAAAATTCACTGTTAAGCGATAATTTTATAATGTTTCCGATTTCTTGTTTGCTCAAGCTTTTTAGTAGTCTGTAATATTCCAAAGGTTTAACTTTGTCATCCTTATTTATAATTTCTTCCAATATTTCTTGAAATTTCTTAGTTTTATTTCTTTTTTATTTTTATTACCTCTATTGGTTCTATTTTTTACTACACTGAGAGCAAAGAAAGGAGGATTGTTTTTCAGACAAACTCTATCCTTCATTTCTCTTGAATTACCATAGCCCTTAACGTTGTCGTTAAGGCCAAATGGATACGGTGTCATCAAAAGTTTTATCCAAAAAAGTTCTTTATTTAAAAGGGTAATTTTGTCATTTTGTGACAGGGAATCTAAAACTGTAACTATGATACCTTTACCACATTTATATATATGGTCATATAACGGAGTATGTAATTTATGTTTGTTAATATTATTGGTGTTCATTTATTATTTCTCTTAGTTTTCTTGTGGTCATACCAACATATTGTAAACCACATCCATTACAAGTAAAACAATAAATAATCATATTACTATTGCAATTAGTGTCCTTTTTTTGTATGTGTTTAATCCTGTTACATTTGAAACTATGTTACAACTATTGTTTGTTATACTACAAATCCTACATGGCTTACCACAAGTATCCCCTTGTATGTTGTTTCCAAATTCTTTTATTCTATATCCACCTGCCTCTCCTCTTTCCTTAATGAACCGGGTATTGTTGTAGTAGTAACCATTGTTTTTTTGCGCATTTTTTGACCTAGTATCTAAGCGTATGAACGGTCAAACCCATACGCAGAGAGGAATCTCCCGAAGGTTCGGCAGGGCTGTTGCCCAGGGGTCGGCACTCCCTGTTTGTTCCAACAGGAACGGATAGCGCTGGGGGCGTCAAAAATTGACTCCTCCTACCATTTTGGACTTGCATAACCCCGTCAGCGCTAATCCCTATTTTTTAAGTCAAAAGAAAATTAGCTTTGTTCGAAGCACAATATTTCGCATCAAGTCTCATGAATCCCTAATGAATCCCAACGCTGAATATCTCTCTGAAACAGACAACTTTCATAGACAGTTCAATATAAAAAGCTCAAATATTTCCCTCTGAATCTGCGTTTCCTTTTCTCTCACATCTTTTCTAAGAAAGTTAGGGCCTCCTCAAAAAGCTTGCTTCACTTAAGGGTGTATGGGCGAACTCGCCCCATATCCTTCAATTGGAGTTCTGCTGAGCTGCCTCACTCGCAACTCAGCGACTTGTCCCACTCGCAACTCAGCAGAACTCCAGTTGAAGGATGCAGACACGTGAATCTAAAATTCTAAAGCGCGATGCCCGTGCACTGCTGTCAGGTGTGCTGATGTTACCTCAAAATGCTACCCGTGCAACTGCGTTCCAGCTCTTAAAGCATGTTTCAGGCTGTGAAAGTGACAACTCGCTTGGAAACTTAGACCATCGTGTGAATTTTCGGAATAACAACATCGTGGAGCGCAGAACAATTCGACTAACATGTTGAATTTCAATGTTCCTTTTTTTCAAGGCGTTTCGCCGAAGAACGAGTTCGGTCACTGTTTGCAAAGTACAAACGCAGCAGAACTGCCATTATATGCTGAACTGATAAGGAACAATGACTGCCAGAATAGACGGAAGATTCTTACCTGCGGTCTCCGTATTCCAGGGGGAAAGCACTCGTGAGTGGTAAGTAGTAGGTATTTTCAACCCAACAATAGTTCTCGGTGTACTGCTCCCACGCATCAGTGAACTGTGCGGGCACCCAGCATTGAATTGGGTAGCCTATATTAAGGGATCTGAAGTGTGATAGAAGACACATTTTCACAATTCCACAACTTACCGACGTACTGTTTTGCGGAAACAATGATCGCAAACGCAAAAATTATTGCTGAAGTGTAGTGGTAGTTCAGCTTGTCAACGAAGTCATCATCTACTCTTGGATGAAGACCTTTGAATATAGCTGCTAGATAGTACAATAGCATTCTGGCGGACAGAAACTGAAACAAACACAAGAAGTCAGTATCGAGTGAAACAAGTATCCCACCTCACTCGGCGACTCCACCTTCGCACAGTGAAACACAACTGGTAAGGTGCATGGAAATGTGGAAAAAAGGTCTATTTCAAAACTCTTTCGGCTGGCTATGATCATAAAGGATAAGGGACGAAGTTTTTTTGCTAATGATCAATCCCTTTTGCGATGCGGCACAAAATCAACCTCCATTTAGAATCGTGATGGTTTATTGAATGGGGAGAGGGGGGTGGGGTAAAAGGGATAAAAGGCTCAGCATAGTTGGATGGGGAAGGGGCCGGAGTTTGATCTTCAGGTTAATGATTGCGTCTTGCCTGAAGTCGTTAATGTTGTTCGATGACATGGTCGATCTTTTCCAGCACTTAACTACCTCATGAACATAAAGCATCACCAGAGGAGTACAACTGATGCCATTCGCCGCTTGGATGAGCCGGATTACACCCATCTAAGGGTGACCAGTGTGCGGGCGCTAAGACATCAGCTGAACAGGCTGCGAAAGTCAGCGTTGAAATGTGAAAAAGTAACTGATCATGCTTGACTCAATGTCATGTAATTCTCTGTGAAGCTTGCTAGATGGCTATGGCCGGACCGTAGACTAATTAAAGCAACGAAGCCAACGTTTGAAATCTGATATCAAGGTCCCAGCAAGGGATTCGACGTGAGAAGTATAGGATTGCCCGGCAACTGCTTTCGAGTGCTTTCAATAGAACAAACCTCTCCACAACTTCTTCAAATTATGTTTCCTGAGGCGGCTCAGATTCTAGTATGCTTTCTTCTGTTTTGTGCCTGCATGTGCTCAATTGTCTTTGCTCAGACTGGTGCAAAATTAAACAGTAACCTCGCAACTAAACAGTACAAGCAACAAAATAGGACCAACATGGGGATTTTCGACACCCAAAATTTCTTCACAAAGAACTGTAAAAATGCAGTTCTTCTTTTCCTTATTCTTCAGCGTTTGTCACATTCTGTAGCGGGGTCCGCTCTTTTGATTTTGTGACGCCATTTCTCCCGATTGAATGAGTGGGCGCCAACTATCTTCAAATCGTGCAGCGTGTCGAGCCAACGTTGGTAGCGTCTTCTCACAGAGAACTCGATGGCACTGATCTTCATGGAATCACTCCTTTAAGACGGAGTCGAGCACTAGGTCTTCCTGGTGTTTAACCTGAGTCCGAATTCTGCCAGGCGATCGGACCAAACTTGAACCTGTCGCTCGATTTTGCTCTATCGTCGCTGGCGAAACCACGTCCTCTGCAAAGAGGAGCGTCCACGGAGAGCGAAGTACCCCCTAATGTTATAGGAAATTCCGCCAAAGTGCCTGTGGATGTTTGTACGCGGCTCTTTAGCTGGAGTAAAACATGCGCACCCGTCTGTAAGCTCTTTGGAAACGTCTTGCTTTCCCAAGTCATACCATATGACTTTAAGCAAAAGACGCGCGGCACATATGGCTTCATTGGTGCTACAGATTGCCACAAAGCACTGATTGAAAAAAGCTGGACAACGTCACGAATATGACCATCAACGATTCGCCTAAAGATCTTTATTTTGTGTGACAGCAGGTGAATGGGACACCAGCGTCAGGCCCAGGTTGACAGGCCTGCTGATGGAGGAACCCGTCACAACAATCATGACAAGTCGCAATAGAATCAGTGTTAATGCTAAGATGTCACCCGGAAGTGGCGCGCAGAACCCTCGCCCGAGTTCTGTGGTCAGCATGCGAGGGCTACGAGGGGTGAACGACCTCGGCCAAAGAAGCTAGTTCGAATTGGGACCCTGAACGTGGGGTCGCTCACCGGGAAGTCTCGTGAGGTTGCCGACCCCATGAGACGAAGGAATATCCAAGTGTTATGCCTTCAGGAAACGCGATGGAAGGGTGCAAAGGCCCGCGGTATTGGAGAAGGCGTCAAACTCTTCTACAATGGAGCAGACACCAAATGGAATGGCGTGGCCATAGCGGTGACAGAATCTCTCAAGGACTGCGTTTCCTCTGTGAACAGGATCAGTGATCGAGTCATGGGAGTGAGAATGGACACGAAGGAAGGGTACTGGATCATACTGACCGCGTACGCACCACAATCCGGTTACTCCGAGGCGGAAAAGAGGGAGTTCTACCTGACCCTGGACGAGGCCATAAGATCGGTTCCGGAAGATGATTACCTCACCATAGCTAGGGATCTGAATGGCCATGTGGGAAATAACAAAAGGGGTCTAGAAAGGGTGCACGGAGGCCAAGGAATAGGGGCAAAGAACGCCGAGGGAGAACGGATCCTTGACCTAGCCACAGCTCACACTTAGCAATCTATAGCACCTTCTTCGCGAAAAGGAGGACTCAGAAGATAACCTACAGCAGTGGTGGGAGACAAACGGAAATCGACCATGTCCTGGTCAGAAGATCGTCTCTCAAAACCGTCAAGGATATCAAGGTGCTGCCTGGGGAAGAGCTGGGCCCTCAGCACAGGCCTCTCGTGGCAGACATCGCCGTAGACTTCCCCAAGAAGACAAGGGTGAGGAGCGAAGAATTCGATGGTGGAAAATGCGCAAGGTAGAAAAGGATTGCCTTTGCAGAAGAACACTGGAGGCTGGGCTCTCAGACCCACACGGGCCAGTTCAGGACACCTGGACCTACGCGGCAGAGGTCATCCTACAGTGTGCCAAGGAGTCCTGGGAGAGACGCGAGGTGGTATCAGAGGAGACAGCCTGGTTCTAGAACGAGGAATTCCAGGGGATCGTCAAGCAGAAGAAGGAAGCATATAAACGTTGGCAAAAGACACGGAGCCCAGAAGACTACGCTGCCTGCAAGAGCTGCAAGCTACTCGCCAAGGCTGCCGTTGCTAAGGCCAAGAATACGGAAATGGACGGACTGTACGAGAAGCTGGAAGGCCAAAAAGGGGACACGTTCGTCTTCCGCCTGGCTAAGCTCGGCATCGCGCTGCCCAGGACATCAGGGTCGTAAAGACTGTGAAGAGCAGCAACGGGACCATTCTCAGGAAACAAACCGAAGTCAAGGAGAGGTGGGAGGAATACTTCGAGGGACTTCTAAACGAAGAATTCCCCCGCAGGGACAGCCCGCAGATAGAGGCGACGGCAGGTCCCATCACGCCCTGGACGAAGGATGAAGTCCGCCGGGAGCTAGGGAGAATAAAAGTTGGGAAAGCAGTGGGTCCAGACGGGGTACCGATAGAGGCTGGAGGGCCCTGGGAGAGCTTGGGGCGAGTTAGCTGACAGACTTCCCAAACAACGTAACGGCTGAAGGAAGGATGCCAGATGCGTGGAGGAGCAGCACAATCGTCCCCATATTCAAAAAAGGGGACGCGAGGGAGTGCTCCAACTACCGCGGCATCAAGTTGACTCCCCATACCATGAAGCTGTACGAGCGCCTGGTCACACACTAGCTGAGGGAGCTTGTCCCTATCTCGCAGGAACAGTTCGGCTTCATGCCCGAAGGTCCATCACTGACGCCATCTTCATCGCCAGACAGCTGATGGAGAAGTACCGAGAGAAGTGGCGACCCTGCTTCCTAGCCTTCCTGGACCTTGAGAAGGCATTCGACCGCCTGCCTCGGCCTGTACTCCTGAGAGCNCGGGAAATTCCTCTTCCTCCTGACTCTAGATGTCATGGCAAAAGAGCTCAGGAGGGGCCACTGAAAACCATCCTCTACGCTGACGAGATCGCCCTAATAGCGGACAGCAGGGAGGAACTCCAGGACAAGGTGCAGCGGTGGCAGGATGTGCTCGCTGAGAATGGACTCCGGTTGAACGTGAAGAAGACCAAGTTCTTAAGCTCCGAAGATAGCTTCGAACTCATCGTAGACCGCCGTGGCGAGAGCATCGAAAGGGTTGAGGAATTCCAGTACCTGGGGAGCAACCTAGCAGCTGATTGCAGCCTGGACCAGGCGGTGAAGACCCGAATCAACGCAGCCTGGATGAAATGGGGGGAGTCCACTGGCATCCTGTGTGACCGGCGGTGCTCGAGAACGCGCAAGGTGTACCGGGCGGTGGTAAGGCCTACAATGCTCTACGTCAGTGAGTGCTGGCCCATCTGCAAGAACCATAAAAGGCAGCTCCACTCAGCTGAAATGAGGATGTTGAGATGGGCCTGCGATTGGACACGACTCGACAGAGTCAGAAACAAGGACGTCAGGGCGATCACGCAGACGGCTCCGATCCAGCTGAAGGCACGAGAGCAGCGACTGCGATGGTATGGGCATGTGCTGAGAAGGCCTTAGGACCACCCAATAAGGAAGGCATTGGAATTCGAAGCAGAGGGCGAGCGACCACGAGGAGCCCCAAAGAAAAGATGGAGGACGTCATCAAGATGGAACTCACTGAAGTGAAGGCCACGACAGAAGATGCAGTGGATCGGAACAAGTGGCGACGTCTAACACGAACAGCGAACCCTGCGACGGCGCGGGACTAACGCTAGGGAGAAGAAGAAACAGGTGAATGGGACGGCAGCAGTTCGCAGAGTTGCACTTCTTGTTCCACAACGGAATCGTCGTGCTCTTCTGCCAGTCCTTGGGTGTCTTCTTCTCAGCAACGACTTGATGAAAGAATTTTGAAAAATATTTTGAATATTTTTGTTCATTTTGCAAAGTCGCGTGAGCCCAGTTCCTCACTAACTCCTTTTATTCTCGAGCGCGTCTCGAACCTGCCACATCCCGAAAATGGCCGAAATAGGCTGTTTTCGCATCGTCCCCCCTCGAAACGGCTGAAATAGCCGATTTTTGCTGAATTCCGCCTGAGTGTGTTGTGCTCGGGCAGAAGACTCGTCCAAAGGGGACCCCTTGCCGATTTTTTCCGTGAAAACTCGTCCAAAACAGCCGCTTTTCGACGTGACAACTCGTCCACCGCATTTCCCGCCGCGCGCGACAGATCCCGCCTCGCCGCGCGCGAAATCCGCCTCGGAAAACTCGTCCAACTGGAAATTTGAGGCGTTACAGGGTCCAGGCGAAGCGGAAAACTCGTCCGGTGAGTCATTAGGTCCGCTAAGACGGGAAAGACCTCACCCCGCCCCCGCGAGAGACTCCGCCCACTGGGCTGCGAACGGCACTGATAACTCGTTCAAGCGCCGCCCCCGTCAGGGGAGTGTGTCAGCATGTTCGTCCGCCTCCAGCGATCTCAGAACATGTTTTGCCGCGCGCGAAAGATCCTCGCCGCGCGAATCGGCCACGGAAAATTCGTCCAACTGGAAAGTTTGAGCCGTTACAGGGTCCAGGCGGAAGCGGAAAACTCGTCCAGTGGGTCATTAGGTCCGCTAGGACAGGAAAGACCTCGCCTCGCCTCCGCGAGAGACTCCACCCACTGGGCTGCGAACGGCACGGATAACTCGTCCAAGCGCCTGTCCCCGTCAGGGGAGTGTGTCAGTATGTTCGTCCGCCCCCCGCGATCTCAGAACATCAAAATGGGCGACTTCTTAGCAGCCACAGCCTTCTTTGCCACACCCTTCTCT